CAAGTTTAATCACATTTTGATTATACAATGGCCAATAAAGTGAATATGTCTGCCACTGTAACAGAAGCTCAGCTGGGTAATGTGTTAAAAAACAACATACAGTCATCCAGTGTGCGAGCAGGAAACTTCAGCTATATTTTTCTGCATATCCAAACCCCCATTAAGATGACTGACCAGTGGTGGCACATTATATTATGCATAGTAATAATATAAATTACTGGATGGAACACAATTTTATTTCTTCTTTGGGACATTTTGTTTCATATTCTGACCTATGATTACCAAGGAATAACTATAAAGACACTCAGTAATTGATCATTTTTTCCCCTCTTATGTTCCCCAATGGGATCAACCCCACACCGTGACTATAATTGACTTTCGTATGTTTTTTTGTGTGTGTTTGTAACATATGTTTTGTATTGTGTATTTAAAAAGTGCTATACCTAGTTATCCGATATTTGCCCTTATTCTTGTTGGCTTTGAAAATATGTTAATGAATACGTACTAATGTATGGGAAATTCTTTCCTTGTTTTATATTTTTCTTCTTTTAATAAATAAAAGATTAAAAAGAAAAAATGAAAGAAAAATTACTGGTTGGTGATGAAGCTCTGGCCAAGTTCTAAAAGACTGCAGACCCATTGCTCAACAATTCCTAAGTTCTAAGATCTGTGAAATTACCCTAATTGCGTAAAATGAGTAAAGTGTATAAACCATAACAGTCTTTGTCCACAATGGATTTTTTCCCCAACAGCATTGTTTTCCAATTATTTTTAAAAAAGCATTCAAAACAGCAGTGACATCTTGGTAGAGCAGGTTTCTGATCTACAAGGGTGAATAAATCCCTAAATACTAAAGAGGATATTGGTGATTCGTTGTGACTGTCACAAAAACTGTGCTTACAATCAACCAAAAATGACAAAGCAAGTCCATTGAACTCTGCTGAGCTAAAGTTACACCAGGGATAAAACCTGACTCTGAGCAATAAGGAAATAAGAACACAAAGGTATACTAATTAAGGGTTGCCTTGTGAAGTATACTTTGCAATAGCTTACTGTAGTTAAAGGGTCACTCCAGAGCCCTAAACAACGTTAGCTTGCTGAAAAGCTTTACGTGTGAAGAGTGTGTCCCCTTTTTCATTTTGCAAAAAGTGCAGATTTCAATAGAAATTGAAAATGTAGTAAATTATCCTAGTTACACCCCCTTGGCTTTTAAGCAGACGACTGGTAATGTTACTTCCTGGTTTTTAATAACCTAATGTAGCTCACCTCAAGAAGCAACAATTGCCCATAGCACCTGCCTTACAAAGACATCTCATTGAGTTGTATAGGGAAGTCTGTGATTGGACAGTCACAGAACATCTGGGCGGGGTTAGAAGGGGAAGGCTTTCAAAGGATGCAGACAAGAGAACTGCAGGTTTTGCAAGCTGAATTAAGATGTTTCCCCATTGAAAAAATACATAATATAATGCATGCAAGTTTTCAATTGGGTAGATCTACTAACAGTGATTTTTATTTATTTTGTATTTGGGCAGTGGAGTGTCCCATTGAAATATATTTGATGCACATTTCATCTTATTTTGTGGCTTACATAGTAGAACATAATATTTTCACAAAATGCATTTGATATGATATCCATAATTGGGTGAACATGTAATTTATTTACTTATTTTAATTTGTATTTTGTTTTATAACTAGATTAGAAACAACCTAGGAGTAAAGAGTCATTTAATTATGTACAAAACTCTGCAGCAAGTCAAACTAATATTTATACATAGTTATTCATGCATGTATTATATGACTTTATAAAAATTAAATACATTTTAACTATCAATAATATGTATTACCATTGCCTGTGTGGTCTGCAAAGTGTCAGGATATGAAGCGACCCAAACAAACGTATTCCTGATTCTGTAGTTTTAAAAATACTATTTAAGTGGCCCTGCCCTCCTTGCCCCCTTAATTAGGATACAAACGCACCTTCCCGCCCCCACCTCGCCTCCTTTGGCTAAAATCATCAGAATTGACAATATCAGCCAATCCAATGCTTTACTATCAGTCAAGGAGGCAGGGTGGGGAGTGGAGACATATGCCATGCTGACCAATCTGTATCTCCTCTTAGAGATGCATTGAATCAATCAATGTTGAGCGCCTCCATGCGTTTTCCACTGGAACCTCTACTGTAAATAACAAATGCCAATTCTATTCCAGCAGGATAGTCTATCTGCTCCTAATCATTATTTCTTTATATATCTTTTTGAATACCTTTCAATATTAAAGGGACTATACAAGAACTATAACAACTGCAGCTCTCTATAGTGGTTATGAGTGACCTGACAACCCTTTCTCCCCAATATAAGAAGTCACACTGCTTGACTTCTTACCTGGGGTCCATGATTGCCACTACCTTCTCCCTGTTAGCTGATCGCTGTCAGCTTAGGAGAGCTAACAACGTACCTGTTGAGGAACTTCCGGTTCGCAGGATATTGTAGAGGAGTTGGGGAGTGGCTCCCAGCAGACGCCAGATTAGAAGTCAAATTGGTCAAGAGCTGGGGGTGGGGCCTGACAGCCAACCGCACATGGCTGGAGCTTCTCAGCCTAAGCCTGAAAAAGCACTGATTAACCTGCTAAATCACTAAGCATCTGGCATAACAAACCCTCATATTCTTGCAGAACACTTAGCTGAAGTTTGGATTCAAGGTTTCTGGGTCCAGGCTGTCGTGGACTGTGCGGGACTGTCTTGAGGCCTACATGGGATTGCCGGGCGGAGGAGGCGGTAGATCCTCTGTCGGAGCCTGCTTTGGGTCTCAATCGGGCCTGCTCCCTCCCCCCTCTTGACCGGTGGGGGTTATCCATGTTAATTATGCCATGCTAATTGGACTGATTGCCTGGTCCATCCCTGCCCAGCACATACCTGCAGTAAAGGCCTACTCGCCAAAATGGCCACCACCATACTGAACGGCTTGAAGCCTGCACACCAACAACTGACTAACCAACTGCACCTGTTTCTGCTGAAGTTTGACAGCAATTCTGGGAGAAAATCTATGCCCAAGCAGCAATAAACTTACCTTCCAGCCCTGCCGACACGCGCCCACGCGGTGATCCGGAAAGGGCTATCCATCTGGGAATGCAGGCCGCCGCCAGAGAGTGTCAGCTCAGAGAAGCCTGCCGCGGGATGAGAGGAAGTCCAGAGGCTCCGTGTCTAAGGTCGGAAAGAATGTACCTCCTGAAGAGCCAACGTGTAGTTGCAGCCACCCCCCACCCCCGCAGCCCAGAAGAATGCTGCACACTGGTGTCGTTGAAGTTCCATCTACAGGCATCGGATGAGTAAACCTCAGCACAGACCAAATATTCTCAGCAGCCATGGACTCTAATATCAAACTGTAATTTCCTATATCAATCTGTAATTTCATATATATATATCTCCTAACACCAGGGGCACTCAGTGGTACTAAAGCTATTACACTCACTAGAATTGCCAAGCATGCTTATACCGATTATCTTGTAATGTATATCTATGCCTGGAATTAGCTAGCTATACCCAACAATTGACAGGGTAGTACTACTTAAATCCCTATGCCTACTCTAGATAACCTATAACTGTCAATAATGCGTAAAATACACGCACAGCTTTAGCCTACTCTTCTATCATTAACTATAGCGACTCCATCTTGTATTACCTTCTGTTAACAAATTACAGAGCAATGTTTATACACGCCATGCCTATGTACCAATATGTATGGTTAAATATGCCGGTTGATGATGTTGTGGCACCACAAACTTGTCTGTAACTACCAGCACTTCAAAAAAACTAAAAATTTCAAAAGCGGTTTGTCTCCTCTCCTGGCACCATAACCACTACAGTGAACTGTAGTGGTTATGGTGCTTGCAGTGCTCCTTTAACTATGTCATAATGGAACATTTAGAGTCTCTCTTAAATTGTAAATATAGCTTTGTGGTTTAGTAGTTACTATATACGCTTCCAGGAACCAACATGTTTTTCTTCTTTATTCACTCAACAATCAATGCAATACTCTCATAGAAACCCACGTGATGAGTAACCATATTATTTAGCAATATTGGTATTACTGTATCTGTTGTTATGAATAATAATATTATTCTAGAGTAAGTCTAGAAAGAGTTCATTTATTTATGTATGTACCATTACTTGACAGATCTTTTTGGAACGAAGGTAAACATATATCAAGGGGAATTTAGATAACATTGTTGCTGAAACTATGATCCAAAAATTCTCTCCAACAGAACAAGAAATGTTTTTTTTCCCCTGTTAGCTGAGTAAGAGCTTTAAGAATTCAGAATTAAACAATATCCAAAATAATTATTGAAGGATATTCTGCTTTTATTGGAATAAATTCACTATAAATAAATCTATCAGCATGTTGCTCATGCTGACATTCAATATTCAGGAGAACACACCAAAAATATTGGGTATAACTTTGCATGTCTTGACTACAGTCACTTTTCCTACTCGATCAAAGAGTGTTACATTTTATTTTGATGAGTCTGAAAACGGTAAGTAGTGGATGGTAGCAGAACGTGTGGACGCTGGGTACAGAAAGGTCACGTAAAAAAACAGTGGATGGTTCTAGCAAATTTTGTCACATGACAGGAGGCTTCCTATTTTGCCTAACTCTCTTTACTAAACTCCACAGCAGTAAAGAAAGTGAAACATTTAACCAATCAAAATGCAATAGGGAGTATGATATTCCCAGTAAATAGGGTCCTCCCCCTCTTTCTTTACTGCTCCATCGGAGACAGGTCAGAGTTTTTGGCTCTTTCCTTTATTTATAGTTTATCTATACTTATTGCTATGTCTATTTAATATTCTTGTAACACTTATCACCTATTTATCTTTCCTTTCTTTAATTGCATACACTTCACTGTGTATATTTGGGTTATCTCTGAGGTTTATATTCTTGCTGTTTCTAGCCAGTTTTCTAGTCCATTTTATCCTGCCTATTACTTGTCATTTCCTACTTTAGACTGTGTTTTACTCTGTCCCCGCCCTCGGGCGGACCCCCCTCTGCGTTTTTTTCGATACCGCCGATACCTCACCTCACATCCCACTGCCGGCTCTCAATCAGTCGACTTTTCCGTGCCGTCCGCTAGTTTTCCTCACACACGCGGCGGCCATCTTTGTCCTCGCATATCGCGAGACTGCGGCAGCCATCTTTGATTGCCCGCGAGCGCATTTTCACACGGCGATTATTCCCCCTTGCCACACAGTTCGGAAGAATCATTTTCCTTCATCCAATACTACAGAGGTCAGTTAATGATTTAAAGCTGTACTTAGCACAAAGGGTATTAACCTGTGCCTTGCTGGGGTGCTGCCCCTATACTGTGCTGCTGTTGGAGGTCGCCCTGTGGCCACCTCTGATGTTTCCTCGGTGAGGCCCAGTAACATATATATTTTATAAAAATCCCAATACTGTGGTTTACTGCCCTGCTGGGGCAAACTGACACTGCTAGTGTCAAATACATACTGTGACACCCTGCTGGGGTCCCCACAAATTGAATATCTCCACTATATTAACACTGCTGGGGTTTATATACCACCACTATACCACAAGATACCCTGCTGGGGTACTACATACCACATACCCTGCTGGGGTTATATATTTTACGCGTCTATTCACAATTTACACGTTAATACAAAGCCCTGTATTAAACCACCATAAGGGTGCTGCCCTTATAGTCACTACAGTGACTCCAAATACAGCTTTGCTGACCTCTGCCATATACGCCCTGTGCCAAGCCTATATTTTATCTATTGACAAGATGGAAGCTCCTCAGACAACCGACTTCTAAACAATGATTAATGAGGCTGTACCCGAGGCAGAGCACGCTTCTCTACTGGTAAGCAACCATCTAACACATTTTTCTCTCCCACTTCGTACAGGAGGTCGCATCTCTCTGTTTTTTCAGGAATGGACGACCATCTCTGCGGACGCATGGGTCCTACAAATGGTACAGGGCTACATCATCGACTTTGTAGACCACCCACGTCAAAGGGATCTACCAGATCCCATCAACTGTTCAATAGAAGATCGCACCCTCATACACAACGAGTTGCAAGAACTATATTCAAAAGGGGCAAGAAGAAGAAAACGGGAGAATTTCACATACAGGCACTTCAAGATGGAAGGCATACATCTTCTGAGGGACCTATTACAAGACAAAGATTGGTTCACAAGGCTAGACCTAAAGGACGCGTACCTTTCAGTACCCGTGCCTACCCTTCGACCTCAGCTCGGCTCCATGGTGCTTCACCAAATTACTGAAGCCCGTGGTTGCTCATCTTCGAACACTAGGCATTCGCTGCATTATATACCTGGACGACCTCCTGCTGTTCTTCTCCGACAAGTCCAGACTGGTACGGCACACACACTATACTACGGATCTCCAATCATCCCTGGGTTTCGTGGTGAACTTCCAAAAGTCAGCCATCCACCCATCTCAAAAGTTTCTAGGATTCGAGATAGATTCCACCACCAGCACGCTACGACTGCCGACGTCAAAGATTTCGGCCATCCGCATGGAACTACGCAGGGCCATTCGGTGCCACATCATTCCACTCCGCACCCTCGCCCGACTGGTGGGACTCCTCTCAGCTTCCATACAAGCTATCTTCCAAGGCCCACTCCACTACAGGGCGATGCAACGACTCAAGGTGTCCTTCCTCAGACACAATCCCTCATACGACCAACCGGTCCCCATAACAGAGGAAGTCAGAGATGAACTCAGATGGTGGCTAGACAGCATGGAAGCATGGAATGGTCGGGCCATTTTCGGGAACACACCCGATATAGTCATGGAATCGGATGCCAGCCTATGGGGATGGGGCGCGACAAACGGAGATACTTCGACAGGAGGCGTCTGGACCTTCCAGGACCTCAACTTGCACATAAATTGCTTAGAGCTTCTGGCGGGATCCTTCGCCATCCGCAGCCTGGCAAAAGACAAGACGGACTGCTGCATCCTCCTCAGGATGGACAACATCTCCGCAGTCCGCTACATCAACCGCCTGGGCGGAGTCTGGTCCCGTCTTCTGTCAGAATTAACGAAAGAGATTTTCGACTTCTGTCTACCCCACAACATCTCCCTCAAAGCGGAATACCTCCCAGGGGAGACGAACCTCACGGCGGACTGGTTCTCACGCCACTGGCGAGACACCAGCGATTGGAAACTGGATCCACAGATCTTCAACCAACTGATGGAACATCAGGGTCCATTTCATCTGGATCTGTTTGTGTCTCGCAACAACAGACAAACAAGAGTGTACTTCAGCTGGCTCCCAGACCCGGAGAGCAAGGCAGTAGAGGCATTCCTACAACCGCGGCCGAGCACGGGAGCCTACGCCTTCCCTCCTTTTGCCATGATAGCAAGGACCATCCACTACCTGAAAAGCCAACAAGTCTCCCTAGTCCTCATCACACTGTTATGGAAGGGACAACCATGGTTCCCAGATCTCCTGGCAATATCATACAGGCATCCCCTCCTACTACCTCATCATCCATACCTCCTTACGGATCCCAAAGGCAACCCTCATCCACTGATCCTAGACAACCGACTCACCCTAGTGGCTTGGACTCTTTCCTGGGTACCTGGCAAGTCGGCAGACTATTGCAGGCTGCTAGGGACCTCTTATGGGACTCATGGGCTCCGGGAACGAGAAGATGCTACCTATCCGCTTGGAATTCCTGGTCCACTTGGTGCATGGAACCGAACCTCGATCCATTTACAGCCACTATTTGTCACGGCTGCTAGTGTGGTCCAACACGCAGAAACTATGTAAACATATACATACAAAAGGAAAGGAAATAAAAGGACAGAGCGTAAACCGGACCTTAGAATGGCCGGACTTATACGCTAGAGATAGAGAATGGTCAAAGGGAAAGCCGAGGTCAAGGAAGCTAGAAATACTCAGATACCGTTTAAAGAAGCCAAGTCAGGGGAACCAGAATTCGGAATAACCAGGGAAAAGCCAAGATCAGAATACCAGGAAGTAATATTCACAAAGATAAACGTACTCTAGGGAACCAGGAACAGGAAACCACGACAGGGCAAGGTACTGGGGTGAATTAAGGATTTAAATATCCCTCTCTAGGCTCTGATTGGTCAGAGGGTGACCTCTGACCCCAGAACGTGCAAGTACGTTGACGTCATGACGTCACCCGCACATTCATATAATTTTGGGTGGTGGAGCCATGGATGGACGCAACCTCATGGTCGGCGCCATCTTGGATTTCCCTGAGCAGCGTGGAAGAATGGTTCCCGGCTTGCCGCTGAGCAGGTAAGCTCAGTGAGTTGGTGCGGTCGTGTTGGTCGGGCACGGACGCACATGGCGGCGAGCCAGGGGCCGTGACACTATTCCAGCCATTTTAAACTTTCTGTCTCACCTATTCTCGACAGGTCGATCATACAGATCGATTAACATAGTCTGCTCCGCTATTTTGGCGCCCCACATTCACAGCGGCCCACATAGGGATCCCGGTGGGTAAGGATCCACTGGTGTGTCGACTCCTCAGGGGCATCCGACTGCAACGACCCCCAGGCCCCAAATACTCACGTCTCTGGGACGTAGACGTGGTTCTCCGTTTCTTGAGAGACTGGCCAAATAACGATAACCTGTCCCTTCGACAACTGTCAGCAAAACTCATGGTTCTGCTTTGCCTAGTGTCCTTCCACAGGGTTTCGGACATTCGGGCATTTGACATAGACCCGTTCTCAATCTCCCCGGAGGGAGTCACGTTACGGGTGTCCCGTCGCACGAAATCGAACTCTACGTAGGTGTTCTACCCCTTCTTTACCTCAGACCCACAACTCTGCGTCGTTTCCACCCTACGACGGTACGTGGTGGTTACACTACCGATTCGGACCTCACCCTCAGGCCAACTCCTCGTATCATACGTTAGACCACACGTTCCCATCTCGACGACCAGCCTCGCCAGATGTGTTCGTTGGATTCTGGCTCTAGCAGGCGTGGACACTTCCTTCGGGGCCCACTCGGTACGCGGCGCAGCGGCCTCCTTGGCCTTCACGGCGGGTGCCTCGCTATCGGATATCCTACGTTCGCGGACTGGTCAAGAGAATCCACGTTCCGCACATTCTACTTCCGCCCGAACTCCGGTGCAGCCATGTCACTCATACAACAGCGTTAAAAATGCAAAATAGGAAGCCTCCTGTCATGTGATAAAATTGAAGATTATGCTAGCGTTAGTGTACTTATAATCTTAATTTTAATAATGACAGGAGGCGAGTATTTTCCCACCCTTCCCACTCGGGGAGGAGGGTAACTTCCGAGTTACTATAGTAGATACAGTTTTTTCTTATATTATACCTGCCGCTATCCAGCTTATATATATAGTTTGTTCTATCTCCCTTAATTATGGTCATTTAGAGTTTATCAGGATATAACCATCCATTAATAAGAATATTGTATTAGTAATCCATGGGTCGTTGTCATTGACGCAACCAGTTTTGAGACCGGTGCCTTACCCATTTCACATTCTCTTTCAGTTTAACTTCACCCACACATGGAATATCTGCGAGACCCTAATCAGATTACTGCTCAACCTATGAAAACCACAGTTCCTGTTGGACCCTTTTCTCAACCGTTGATATTGGTTATGACAACCATTGATACTTGTTGCTGATCTTCCTCAAGACCATCGTTCTATTGGTTTCTTATCTGTTAGTGATCGTTTCAGACTTTATACGGATCTCCTTCCCTGATTACGATGTCGCCTACGAAAGAGAAGGAGGAGCCTATTTACTGGGAATATCATACTCCCTATTGCATTTTGATTGGTTAAATGTTTTCACTTTCTTTACTGCTGTGGAGTTTAGTAAAGAGAGTTATTCAAAATACTCCTGTCATTATTAAAATTAAGATTATAAATACACTAACGCTAGCATAATCTTCAATTAGTAAACATGACAAGAGACGATTCCAATCTGGAGTCTTCTAAGGAAACTGTAGATTTAATGGATATCAAGTTAAAGGACCACTATAGTGCCAGGAAAACATACTCGTTTTCCTGGCACTATAGTGCCCTGAGGGTGCCCCCACCCTCAGGGTCCCCTCCCGCCGGGCTCTGGGGGGAGGAAGGGGTTAAATTTCTTTCTTTCTCCAGCGCCGGGCAGGGAGCTCTCCTCCTCCTCTCCGCCTCCTCTCCTCTTCGGCTGAATGTGCATGAGCGGCAGGAGCCGCGCGCGCATTCAGCCAGTCCATAGGAAAGCATTCAAAATGCTGGCGTCTTCT